GCCATCCGCTGTTCTTCTGTTAGGTTTCTGAACTCAAACCCTTCTATGACTGATCCTTCTTCTGGTGCCTGGTTAGGCTGCAGAATGCCACACTCTGTGGCTATTGCCTTTGCTGTGAAGACATTGTCTCCGGTTATCATCTTGATGTTCACGCCCGCGAATTGGCAGGTTTCAATGGCTTTCTTCACACCATCTCTGCAGGGATCTTTCATGCCTACAAGCCCCAGAAGAGACAGTCCATCTTCTGCAACTGAAACTTGTGTTCTTGTGACGTGTTTGTGTGCAAAGGCTATGCATCTGAGGCTGCTGGCGGCCATGCCTTGGATCATTTGCTCGAATTCCACTCTCTCGTTGGCATCGAGAGATTTCTTGTTCCCTTCCAGATCATAGTAACCTGAACACATTCCAAGGATAATTTCTGCAGCTCCTTTCCAGTGAGCATGAACTGTGTTATCTGCAGCCTTTTTTATAGAAACCCCACTCCTCTTTTTCTCTGAATTGAATGCTTCCATGTGAAGAACAGTGTAATTTCTCTTCACTTCCTCCATATCCATGCTAAGCTCCTCAATAGCCCAGGATAAAATGGCTTTCTCTGTTGGACTCCCTGAGAACTCGAAACCCAAACCCGAATCATCTGACCTGAAAACACTTCCTGTTGTGTTAAGACCAACCCCTTGGTGGAACAGTTCAAGAACTCCCCCTGCAATTTCAGCTCTGTTCTTTCCCTCCATGGATTCTTTTCCCAGCCAGAACTTCGTCACCTTCATCTTATTCTGAGTCAAAGTTCCTGTTTTATCAGTGCAGATTGTTGTGGCAGACCCCATTGTCTCACAAGCAGAGAGCTTCCTCACCATTGCCTGATAACTCATCATTCTCTTCAAGGAATATGCGAGAGTTAGAGTTACAGCAGAAAGCAACAGTTCTAGATTCAGGACTTCGTAAATCGCAACAATAGTGGCTATGATTCCCACGTCGCAATTGATCACATAATACTCTTTCATCTTGCTCCTGTCTTTATGCTTATTGTGTCCTGTAAAACTTTGTACCGTCAAGACAACCAGTACGGTGAATAATGCCACTCGTAAACCAAACTTTCGTATGGGTGAAGCAAGCTTGTTTAACATCGTCTGCAATGGCGTCTCCTCGCTGTTACATGATGAATTCAATAAACACTTAATTAGCAGAAGTACCTCCAATCATTATTGCGTTGCATTATTCTGAGATGTGAGTAACAATAAACTTTATATACATCCTATATTTCATTAATAAACTTTATATATTGTTTGATCAACAAACAATCATTCAATTCAACAAAATTATTTAACAAGCCTACTTAACTTGTACACAAAAGTAAAATCTCTAGCTCTAGACCCACATCCTGATCTAACAAGATTTATGGATGTGATAAATCATAGGGACTCACAATCCATTCCATTAAATGGGAGGACCAGAGTTCTCACATGGAAGCCATCATATTGGGTGCTCGAAGGAATTTGTAAGGTAATAAATCACGATGATTTAGTTGTACTGTTCATTAGGTGAGAGGAGAAGTATATTATAAATCATAGTAATTCAACAATCTATTAGGTGAAACAACAGGTACCCACAAAGAACCACATATAATTTGTGAAAATGTTAAATTACTATGAATCAACCATTCTTTAGATAAGCTAGAGGACTCCAGTGCACACAAGAAACCCACCACATTAAGTATCTATAAACCTAATTAACTTGCATTAATTAAGACATTAATATATAAAATCTTAATTACCTGACGGAATCGCTGGTGATTTCGCTCATCATGGCGCCCCAGGCGGTGTTCATGCCGACAGAAGTTACCAAGAATCTGCCAAATCCGTCAGCCACTTTCTTCCCGGAAATAAGGAACGGATTCCGATCATGATTGATCTCTACGTGATCAGTCTCGCCGGGTATGCTCGATTCATCCACCAGCAACGAGTGCCCTTCCACCAACAATCCGTCCGCCGGGACTTGACCTCCGATCTTCAAGCAGACAATATCTCCGACAACGATCTCGAAGATGGAAACCTTCCGCCGTCTCCCGGCCCTGACAACCTCAACCGGAATGTTCTTGCTCATCTTCGACAGCTTATCGAACTGTCTGCTCTGCCAGAAAGTGCTGAGAGCGGAAACGGAGATTACCAGAAAGACGGCGACAAATATACTCCCTCCAGCGTACCATCCTTCCTTGATTCCATCATCTTTGATCCCAAACGCGAGCAATACGACAGCACAAGCCAAGAGGATAATAATGGTGGGATCTCTGAACGCCTCCCAGACAAAATGGAAGAGATTTTTGGGCGGCGGCTTACTGTAAGTGTTGCTTCCAAATGCTTGGTTTCTACGCGAAATATCCTGGTCGTCGCCATAGATTCCGTCTTGCAAATTAGTGTCCAGAGAAGAAGAAAGACCTCCAATTCCACCAAGATTAGCGAGATGCTCGAGGCTTTTCTCCTTGACAATCTTTGCAAGGCTTGACTGATCAAGATTCTGGAAACAACCAGGGTGTTCTTCATCATCATCATCCACGTCATTGGATAATCTGTCAGATTGTTCAGGAGACACTTTCCTGGAGGGATTCTTGAGAAGATAAGAATAATGGCGGAATGCATTCAAACATTTGATCATAGAAAGTGCAAGACGCCATCTTTTCTTGCTTGGTAACCTCAGTTCCGTTATCAGTGGCAGGTTGATGAGAACAATGGTCATGCTGGCTTGCAGATTTCTCTCGTCGCTGTGAGTAGTGGCGGCTGGTTTCTACTGTTATTAAAAAAATAATTAAAGAAATAATTGAAGTAGTAAACTGGTCGTCTGCAGATGGATATGCTTCTCCCCGACAAGATTTCCCGGTATGTATTTATTAATTCGTAACCGCGTTTGAGAAAGCTGCAGTGGTTGGTTGGATTTTTGCCGGAAGTGTAATAAATTCTGGTGGAGCCAACTTTCTGGTTATTCAAATCATATGATTATGAAAATAGATGCACTTGTAACTGATTTTACTTGCACATTTTACTTGCAAATATGAACCAACTACTTACATTTGTAACATATTTACTTGCACCAAAGTTTAAGTAATTTACAAAAATGTCACTGTGTCGAATTTTTAAAATTACATATAATTATGATTTGTTAATCTGGACACGTGGACAGCTGTAAATGGTTCTTATTTCTCTAAGAGGCGGACATCCTCGCCTGAGTACGCCCCTATATATATAATTCAGTTCTCGTGCGATTGAATGTGTCCCGTGCGGTTAAATTTGAGTCATTGATTTTGTCTAAATCAACATCTAGGATTAACAATGATTAAAAAAATACGATGACAATTTAGTCATTTTGCATCTAGGTCAAATTGAAGGGTGCATGATTTTCCTTATTAAGGTGCGTGGTTTTTATACTGTGTGGTTTAAGATACGTCATTTGTTGAAAACTTAAGTGCGTCGATCTAAAGTTTTAGGCGCGTGGTTTTTCTTCTTAAGGTGCGTCAGTTGTTGAAACTATGTGTCGGCCTAAACCTTTAGGTGCGTGATTTTCCTTCTTAAGGTGCGTCAGTTGTTGAAAGTTAAGGTTGCGCCATTTTAAAACTTTAGGTGCGTGATTTGTGTTTTTTTTTTTTAGGTGTATCTAAGGTTTCCACTGACGGACACAGTGACTAATACACTCTGTTTGCGTGCCCTTGTTGCTTGCATTGCATAGCATTCCGATACCATTTCTATGGTACATAGCATTTATGTCTTATTTGATTTTGATTCCTATGTAAACTATTCATAACTTTCCATATAAAAATACTCTTGTGAAACTTAACTTGAAAATACTCTTAATAAAACTCGTTTAGCTCAATTGGTAGAGCGTAAGGCTTTTAACCTTGTGGTCGTGGGTTTGAGCCCATGGTGGGAGAAGTTGCACGTTTGCATACATAATGCCGCACTGAATGAGTGAACATTAAAGAGTTTTTTCAGAATGGGAAAATATTAATTTAGTATCAATGAAAACCACTAAAGAATTAAATACACATTACAATAAATAAAGGAAATATACTACTTAACCCATCACAGCCCAATAAAAGATCACCGTCAAAGCCCAAATTAAAGTACCCAAACCATATTCCCTGTAAGGCCCAGTCCAATTGGGATCAACTAAAGTGGGAAAGGAAGAGAACATGCAAATTATATCGTGTGCACCAAGACGCACAATGCATTGTGCGTTCGTTCTGGCCCAAAACGACGTCCTTTTGTTTCTGTTACAGAATACATATATTCTTTTTGAAAAGATAATATACATAATCAAACATCATACACATAAACTCTTAACTCTTAAAAAAAATCTCCTATTTCGAATGTACATAATTGTACAATATAATATACATAATTATATAATAGAATACACATACACTTTGTCGCGTCAACTCCCCACACAACTTAACAAACGACGTCGTTTTGGGCAGGGTAGGGCACACAATGCATTGTGCACCCTGGTGCACGATATAACGATTGGAAGGGAACAAGTTGAACATAATGACCAAGATAATTAGTTTCACATAGATTTAACCACTGTAAAATGATTAAATCCAATCAATTTGTTACTTTGGATTCCAACTTGATCTCGAACTTCATTAATAAATTTACTAGCTAAATTTGATGTATCAAGTTCTGAACTCTTCATGTCAAGTTCTGTTCGATATTTTATTCCACTAATGTTATAATCTTGACGTATCGAATTGACTCAAAATTTTACTTTAGCTAAATAAAATTATTTATCATCCATCAACTTCAAATCACATTTTTGCAAATTATATCGTGAACTAGGATTCAATATGAATCTTGTGAGTCCCAATTCAAATTATGTACTTTTTTTTTGAAAGCCACCATTATGGGTGATTGTATTAAAGATAAGCTGTAACAAAATCCGGGGATCAGAATCTCAATACATCGTATGAGTCTGAGAAAAAGCATGTGACGCTAACGAATGCGCCATAAGATTCTCTAATCTAGGAATAAAATTAACAGAGCATAAATTAAAGGTTGACAATATAGTCCTGCATTCATCAATAATATAGCCAGTATACGTTCGCATCCGTGTGGCTTGTGTTGTTAGGAGTCGCTGTAGATTGTAGCAATCTGTATGTAGTCGTATCGAGAGCAAACCTTTCTCCTTTAACCATGATAACGCATCTTTACAAGCCAAGGCTTCTGCCATCAACAGGGAAAGACAATCGGGAAGCTGCATATGAAAACACGCCATGAATTCTCCTCCGCTTGTTAGCACAATCGCACCCGCCGTCGCATTTCCATTTGTGGCGTGGTATCCTGCATCTATATACACCTTGGGCAGTCCATTCTCCACAGCAGCGGCTCCAATAGAATGGGAGGTCGCAGATGTTCCAGCGCTGCTGGATGCTGCTGTAGATACTCCAGCATGTACCGTAGCCCATGCCTGCCACGCTGCAGCCGCTGCTTGCACAACTCGTTTGGGCCTCGGTAGAAAATGCTCCCATACCGCTTGGTTCCTCGCCCGCCAAATATAATAGAGTAACGCGGCTGCCATAATAAATTGATCAGGGGTGAGTATTTTCATGATTTCAAGAAACCAAGTTTGAAAAGAATCGGCCGTAATATTCATAACAGGCAAAGTAGATTCCTCCCAAACTGCTTGCGTGAAAGCACAAGTTACAAGGGCATGCATCGTACACTCGGGGTAAGTCACACACATTGAGCATATTGGATCAACATCCACTCTCTTCGTAATAAGATTCGTTGTGGTAGGGAGGATACCACTGAGGGCTTTCCACATAAATAATTTCCATTTTGGTGGTATTTTCATTTTCCACATGTGTAACCAGTCTCTAAATTCTCCATCCCTGTACTCATAATTTCCAACAACAAGCCTGTATCCCCCTTTAACCGTATAAATCCCATTTGGGTCCCCTGCCAATACCACATATCCGGATACTCCAGGCAAACAGGTACCCTGCTTATTCGCATTACATCATAATCCATGAATAAGTCCCTGAGTATATGTGGATCCCAAGTTCCAGTATCCTGGTCAATCAAACCCACCACTTTTGTACCCACCAACTCCTGGGGCATATCAGTTTGAATCATAGGTTCAGAGTCATCAGGTAGCCATGGATGTCCCCATATCAAAGTGTTATTCCCATCCCCAATCCTCCTCCTTATCCCTCCACAAATTAAACTCTGGGCCGCAAAAATACTCCGCCAACAGTAGCTAGGATTATTCCCCAAAAACCGCCTCAAGGATGTTCTTGGATAATATCTTGCTTTATAAACTCTTGCTACTAGTGACTTAGGCTTTACCAAACACCTCCACCCCTGCTTTCCTAACATATATATAATATGTTAACCGTATTACGGTTGTAAAGTAAAATGAAGAGGAGAATTCCGGTTTCAGTGTTAAAAGTGTTGTACACGGACACGCAGAAAGAATTACGTGGCAATTTCAAAGGTCCACATAGTCATAGTAATCGCGTTAGAGATCGTGTTGTTGACTTTGGACCTTTGATTCACGCAAGGGCCAAGCCTCATTGACCAACAAAATATGGGAAAGATTTATCTTATAATTTTAGTTAGCACATGATTATATTACGAGGAGAACTGACTAGTTTCAATCAAAAAATCAGTAGATAATTGTTTCACTAATTCGTTTGGGGTTGGTCTAAAAAGATTTATTCCTCATTAACTTGTATTTTGTGTTAATCTCATATTTTGCGATCATTTTTGATGATTTAACGTGAACCTTTTTACTAATTTTTTTTGTGTTTTATCTGATAACTCATAGATTGTGATTGTTTGTTGTTGGTATTAACTCATCTGATTAAGTTGTTTGGGCTAATAGCTTCCTTAATATTCTTTTTTGTTTTTAATATTTTGTCTTTTAACTTTTATAAATTGACTAAATTCAATCTTAATAGGATAATTAGAGGCTGGGTTTAAAAAAAAAAATAGCTCAACAAAGAAAACACGATGTGGACTAGTAGTGGCACTTGATCTTAACAAGTCAGGTCACAGATTCGAGTCCCAACAAAAATAAATTGTATTAAGATTGGTAGGTGTTGAGAGGAAGAATTATGTAAGTGGACACTGGTGAAGGGCCAAGTCCACCGCACTGGCTCTCGAAATTGTGCATATAATTATCCGATGTGGAATTAAATCTGACTAATAATCTATATGATTATCTCCTCCATTTGTTACACCTTTTTAGTGTATCATCTCCACACTTATTATCTTATTACTCATTGAATCTAAAATGATTAAAATCATCTTACAAACTAAATAATCAAATTTGCTTAAACACATTAGATTTCATTTAATTTCTACTAGAATAAAAGAATTACATTGATGAGCATTACATCACATCAGAAAAATACAATGTAATGATCGAATTATCCTATTAATCTTTCTTCTTTCATTACAGTGAGAAAATTAACATGATGAATTTTAACAAATAATTAATGACAGTAACTAGCTAGTAGCAAAGAAACACTAATTTTAACTGTGTTCATCATCTTCTTCACAATGTTCATCATCAAGGTTAAAACTCTACCCAATGTTCATCATCATCTTCACAAATTCTTCATAGTTGACTTGACCATCTCCATCCAAATCTGCCTCTCTTATCATCTGTTCAACCTCTTCGTCTGTAAGCTTCTCCCCCAAATTTATCATCACATGCCTCAGCTGCATATATGGAATCCAAACATTTTACTTCACAATATTGCAGTAATTTCTTTAATTTTAAGTCAAAACAAAACTATAATCGTCAAACTAAAGGTAAACCCAAGACATTTTTTAATCTATAAGTACGAGAATCATGCTCCACTCGCTAACATACTTTTTTTGGTAACTTAGGTTTTTCAGCTTCGTCGGATTATATCCCAGATTTCAGGAACCCCTCTAAGCCCATGAGAAAGTAAATCGAACCCCCTCAAATACCTAATATTCGTGATAAGTTCGAATTCCCATTTTACTACTATAAACTGTATTAAGTGAGATTTTTCATCTAAGTACACTAATTAATGTCTTGAAAGCTTATTTACTAAATCTTTGATTTGGTATTTCATAGGCTTCCAAAGAGTACATGCCGTACACAATGACGTACACCTCTTCTTTTTCTATGTAAATACCATAGAATAATTAATGGGCCAATTATTTGGAAGAAAAAAAAAAAAAGCCAAAAAGAAAAAAACAAATAAAAAAACCAAAAAATCATTTATTGACTTTCAAGAACACGTTTTCTCATTGTACCAATTCCTATTTTTACCAAACACATTTGTATGTCTTAATAATATTACGAGTAATTAATTTTGATTAACATATATAGATATAAAGCAATAATAATAAGTTAATAACTCACCTCACTGGCAGAGATGTAGCCATTTTGGTCCTTATCAAACACCTTGAAAGCTTCTTTAAGCTCCTCCTCTGCATCTGTTTCCTGGGAATGGATGACAGACAACATTAAACTCCTCGAATGCTCATCGGACACCACGAAAACGTACGAGGTTAATTAGGGTGGAAATATATACCTTCATTTTCTTGGCCATGAGGTTCAAGAACTCGGTGAACTCAATGGTTCCATTGCCATCTGCATCCACTTCGTTGATCATGTCCTGCAGTTCTTCCTCTGATGGGTTTTGGTCCAATGATCTGATCACCGTCGCCAGTTCTTCTACAGTGATGCAACCTGTATATATACATTATTCAACCCCACATTATTCATAGGCATACAAACAGGAAATCGGGGCAATCTAGTCGAGTTTGTCAGACTGTTGGTTTGGTAACAATAAGGTTTCAAGTTCGATATGCATGTTGTGTTACTAACCATCGCCGTCTTTGTCGAAGAGATTGAAGGCTTCCTGGAACTCTACAATTTGATCTTCATTTAGCACCTCAGCCATGGTGTTTTTCTGCTGGAAATTTGGGAAGACAGAAGAGCAGCTTGAGAGAGAGAGAGAGAGATGAGGGGAATGAGGGTTGAAGGTTGAGTACATATAACTCAATCTTTGGTGGGTTTTATAGGAAGGAAACCAAGGAAAGATTGCTAAAGAAAGAAGATTTTTTTTCAAAAGAAAAGTTTTTTTTTTCTTTGAAAGAAAAGAAAAGAGTTTTAAAAGTGAAAATTAAGATTACTAATATATGTGATGTGATTGACTCTTATGTGTTTAAGTAACGCATGAGAAGAACTAGAGTTATGCTGCTCACCGCACTAATGTAGATTTGATTGCAATCCCGACCCGACAGACCATTTAGGAGGATGCAAAAAAATTCCTTAGAAAACATTTTGTAGTCTAAACTGAGGTTTTGACTTGGTCCTACAATAATTCACATAGCCACACTTGTAACCAAAAGGGACTCTTTAGTCTTTACACGTTTTCTCCCACTGCAGAACCATAAGTTAGACCATTTGTTTATTTTATATTTTTAGTGAAAAATCTTTTTTTTTTTTTTATTTACAAGAAACTTTATTGCAACTATTACATGAAATTATATTTGGTGTAAAATTTATTTTATAATTTTAATTGGAGACTACAAAGTGATTTTAATCGAAAAATGACCACAATTATGTAAATTTGGGTGAATTATTGCAAAATCTTGAATTTTTCTTGACGACTAAAGTGGGAATCCATTTCACACTGTGGTTGGTTTTAGGGGTTATAACAATAATATTAATATATTTTTTTGGGTTGAAATTAAATTTTGAGAATATAAATTTAGACAGCTGGAATGGTTTGAAGTTCAGGGGACAATGCATTGAAATATAAGACTGGAGAAGGCATGGGGAGGTGTGTACTGTCAACTCTGTACTTGCCTACGGCCTTTAGTCCAATATATTTTTCTTTTTAATGTTTTCATTATTTAATTTTGTATGATTTATAATTAAAAAATTTTTAAAAATTAAATAAATATATAGTTTTATATGCTAAAGTAAAAATGTTAATCTTTCCCAAAAAAAAAGTAAAAAATGTTAAATCACAAAAAAAATAAAAATAAAAATAAAAGCCACATTAAAACATTAAATGAAAAATACAACCACAAGTAACTATTTATAACTCTAAATGCATACTCCTATTTAAAAAATATACAAAAAAATATTGAGAAATATAACAATCTTAATATTAACAATTACTTAAACGAAGTTGGGATTGACACTAGTTTTATATAAAATATAAAAGGTTAATGCTAGTTATTTTATTTATAAAGTGTAAACATAATATTTTGTTTAATAAAAAATATTTTTTATAAATAACTATAATACTTGGCTAAGTTTTAATGAAAAATAGTATTTTTTTTTTTAGTCCTTAGGTATGCTTGTAGCATGAATTTAATTCATTAATTATTTGTGGTATAAATTTAAACTTTTTGATTTTAATTGAACAAATTTGGTCTCTAGTAGTTTTAATGAAATCAATTAAGCCAATGATCAAATTGACAATTTGTTAAAAAATTAAAAATTAAATTTATACTGTAAATAATCAAAATATTATGGAGTATATTACAATCATAATTAAGAAACTAAAAATGTCATTTTAAAAATAATAATAATAATATATTATTACTCCGATATCATTATTTCTCACAATATATTGTTAATTTAACTGATCTGAGTCTCAATCATGCATTTGGTTTTATTAATAATAATATTATTATTATTTTTGTAATGAGAGAAACTCATAACTATTATTCTAGTGTTTGTAGTGTTTAAATCTTATTTTTATGTAATAATACACAAATTATATATACCAAAAATCACAGTATAAAATACTATGCGATAAGCTTGAGCGAAAAGTTGTTATTATATTTTGGTTTGCCTTTTTGGTCCCCATGGAGCACGGTGCGATGCTCGCACGAGGGTTGCCATTTTTATCACTTCTGATTTCTGCCGGCTAAATCACGTGATTGCTAGTAGTATCTCCTCCTTAATTATTATTATGTTTTTTAAATCATTAATATGTCATCATTATTTAATGAATATAAAGCAAGCTATTTACACGGCTATATCCCACTAATAATATGTAATATAAGTTATTTATTTATTTATTTATTTATATGTACTATTGAGTATTGATGGTTTTGCAAGGATTGAATAGTCGCGGGTGGACCACCATTATCATTACCATACAGATTAAAATAAAATGTAGCAAGGCAAAATTGATAGTTTAAAATAATGTTCTCGTAAAAATGAATTTTGGTCTTTGATAGAGCCGTAAAAAATAGGGTTTACCCGCTGGGTCGATCCGTCCCGTCTCGCCGTAAGTAAAAGACGGGTACTTTAATATTCGACCCACCAAAAAGCGGGCTTTTTAGCCCGTCCCGCCTGCATCACGAGTTTGCATGTCAGCATGTCATATTTTTTTTATTTACACATTTACACAGTAGTGTAAGTGTGTAATTACAGTATAGCGAATTTTTTTAATTACAGAAAATATTGATTGGCGGGTGCCCGTCCCGCCGATGGGCTTTGACATGGCAGGGCGGGCTAGCCACATTCCAAGCGCGCTAAAAGGCGGGCTTTTTAGCCCGTCCCGCCCCGCGAGACCGTTTCGACGGCTCTAGTCTTTGGCAACCCCTAGGGTGGGTATTTATGCAATAAATTATGAGTGCTAAAAAGGAAAATAACGATCTCTAAAATCTTGCTTGCCAATTAATTCCTAACTTTCCAAACTACAAAATAGACAAGTCAATTAATGAAATAATAAATTTCCAAGATAAATCTTGACCGAATCTCCTTTTCACAATTCTGATTTGATACTCCCGCTGCCTACATAGTCGGTCGGGGGCAAACGGTCCGACCGACTGCGGGACCAGGGACCACGCTCTTACACAATAAAGAAATACTTCTTTAAAGAAGAAGAAAATCAACCTTAGTTCCGAAAGGAATGCAGTGGTCAAGTAAGTGAAACATAATTCTCGTACATGAAAATCTTGATTTTTTTTATTTTTTTTTTTTTTATTTTTTTTTTTGTTGAGGGAAGGGGTCGAGGTCCCCGAGGGTTAATAAAGCCTTCTAACAGCTACATTGTTTGCATCACGAGCAATCATCGGGATGATCTCGTGGGGAGGGTGCATCAAGGTTGTCGTACCCCATTAAGAATCCTGCCCCAAGTTGGCGAGGCAATCCGCACATTGGTTACCTTCACGCAGCGTGTGTTTGAGCTCAAAAAAAGAGGAAGCTTTTCATGAGGTACTTGCAGTCGATGATGAGAATATCAGCTTCCTAGGAGGGGTCAGAGATGTCGTTGAGAACTTGCATAGCAGCCATGGAGTCAGTTTCAGCTTCCAGCTTATCGAATCCCAGAGATTTTGCTATCCGGAGAGCTTCTCTTGAATTTGATTCTTGTTAATATTTTCTTACACAAGAATTGCACTCTCCTTCATCACCATCATTAAAAAAAAAAAAAAAAATCAAATCTAACAATAATACATAATAATCCATGGTAAATTGCTACTAGTTGCATATTAAATTGGATGTAGCATCTGACCTACATACTAGTAATAGGGCTGCTAACTTTATACTCCGTAGCCAATTTAATCTCGGTTTTCAACAAATGATTCTTTACCTAAATAAAGATGCAAATGTAAGAAATTTTCAAAATAAATTTAGAAATTTTATAATTAATGGTGGCCATCATATTTAATTAAACCATTGTCCTCATAATAAGCACTACTAGAGTAGTAGAGTGCTATATATCTAGATTCTAACAATCTTGCACTAGATCAATTCAAACCCCCTAAAGTAAACTCAACTCCATCTGGATTATAGTATTAGTGATTAGTGATGTGTATAGTAATATTATAGCATAATTAGCATTATTATATTAAACATTCCCAGCCAAATACTATGTCACCAACTAATCCTGGAAATTAACAAATGTATTTATTTATTTATTTTTGTAGCTTTGTGCACTGTACAAAACTTTTGAAGCTTATAAAACCCCAAGATTTGGATCATAGTTTTATCAAATCAAAACCACGACATAAATGTTGCTTGGCTGTCAACGCGGTTTTGCTTACCTTTGCCTCGGACGACGAGGTACAACTTTTGATCCTATCCAATCACAGGAAATAGAGGGAAAATTAATATTGAAAGATTTGTTTTGTTTGCATATATATAATGTTTCGATATTTCCATTATAATAAAGTTAATTTAGATTCAATTTCAATGATGCATATAGAGTTTGATTTTTGAAAGAATGTATAGCCCATAATTAGTTTGATCTAGCTTTAACTTGATATAACTTTGTAGTTGCATTAGCAGCTCGCTTATCAAGCCAGCTGCTCAAATGATTAGATTAAATTAAAAAGTAATTTTAAGATAGATATACGGAGTATAAGATTTGTTTCTAGACTCTATGGTATTGAATTAGTGGATGAGAAATATTACTTTAAACTTGTTTTTAGGTGGGGATAAAGTACATTTTGGATTGATCCAAAATCTAAGGTTATAGCCAAAAAAAAGAAAAAAAAAAAAAAAAAAAAAGAAGATATAGGATGTAACATTACTCAAACTAATAAGACAAAATTATTTTGTTTTGAATTTTTTAGTTGTTAATTGACTTCAAAGTGATATTGGCATTTTTTTCACAAAATTTGTCATATCCTATGGTGGGATCAAACGCTTACTATTACACTAAAAGTTATAATTAGTAGCAAAGATGTAATTTTATTTTATTATACTTAAGTCCTCCTCCCAGTACCTACCAGCCTCAACTACACATAGAACTTATTTTTAATGGAACACTTACTACTACGTGTCAAAAGTTGCAGCTAGTAACGAATGTGCAACCTAACTTTATTTCATTATATTTATGTAGCAATAAACACCATATTTTGATGATAAGATACTAGATTTGACCCTCCAAACCTCTGCCCAACATTCTACATCTACGATCTTTTAGAATCATAAACCATCTACGCATTTCTTGAACTAAAGTTAGCCAACTTGTAAGTAGAATTGTTCTTGTTTGACAATGCAATGCGGTGGTTAGAAATAAGACCCTTTAATTTTAAACTTAAAAGTGTT